TCCCTCCTGAGGCTCTGGACTCTGCTTTCCCAGGGCAGGGGTCTCTGGGGCAGGTTTCTCGTCTGAGTGCTGTGTTTGCCCGTCCTGCCCCGTTCAGGTTCCGTCTCGGCACTGCCATCGACTTTGCTTTTTGCTTCTGCTCTCCAGGCCAGCTATGGGGTGGAAGATCCGGAGTATGCAGTGACGCAGCTGGCCCAGACCACCATGAGATCTGAACTGGGGAAACTCTCCCTCGACAGAGTCTTTCGGGTGAGCTGGGGAGGTGGATCACGGAGCTGCCGGCGTCGCTCGAAACCCTGGGGCGGTCTGCACGGCCAGGCTTAGCAGCAAAACACCCTCTGCTTGGAGGGCTTCCAGCTTCTGTTTCAGTTGACCTGTTAGTGAACCTGTGGAGATGGGTCTTGTTTTGTTGTTTTCTTTTTTTTAGGAGCGATTTTTCAGCCTTCCCTGGGTTGGTTGGAAGGGGTGAGGGGTGGTGTGTGCCCGGACCCACCCGGTCCGGCTGCGTTTCTCCTGAGTCGGTGACTCTTCGTTCAGGCCTGGTGACCAGTGTCCTGGCTGACCCTGTTCGGGGGAGGCTGTACCCCTTGTGCTGCGTCTGCTGGGCAGAAGCAGGAGCTGTTGGCACTCCTGGACGATGTCTGTATCCAGGTGTATGCCAGGTGTTTGTGTCCCCGCTGTTTTGGTCGGGGGGGCTGCCTGCCCTAGGACACGGTGACCCTTTCAAGAGACGTGGGAAGCACTTGACCCTGCTTTACGCCTGCAAAGATGTTTTTTCATGGCTGACCTTGGCCTGTGAGGGGAGATGTCTGTTTCCCTCCTGAGCCCTGTCTCATGCTAAGTGCCTCTTCTTTGCTCTCTGCCGGTTCTTTTGTGCCTCCCAGGAGCGGGAGTCCCTCAATGCCAACATCGTGGATGCCATCAACCAGGCCTCGGACTACTGGGGCATCCGGTGCCTGCGCTACGAGATCAAGGACATCCATGTGCCCCCGCGCGTGAAGGAATCCATGCAGATGCAGGTTTGGTTCTCCGGGAGGGCGACCTGCAACAACAGGGCAGGCTCCCCTTCTCCTCTGCGTGGTGGTTCTCCGTCCAGAGCGGGCAGCACTGGGTCCTCCCGCAGTGAGGGAAGCCCGCTGGCAAACGTAGAGCTGTCGAATAAATAATTCCTGGCGCTATTTCGGCAGCGGTGGCCCCTGCCTGGTGCACGCAAGCCCTGCCAGCTCGCTTTAAGGCTCTGTAGGAAGCAAACCCCAGAGCTGGAGGTCTCCCCTTGGGAAAAGCCAGGCGCCAGCTCTCCGGGCTGGAAGGGGA